AAACACCCCCAAGGTGCAGATCCCGTTTCCAACAGTGGCAGCAGTGCTTGGTGACAAAGGAGGAATCAAAACCTTCTTCCTTCTCCCTTGGCCTGCTATCAGTGTTCTTCCTACTGCAGCCCAAACTGTTGCTGGCTTATGGTCAGCCTGCCCTGGAAGCTCTGCTGGGCCTTCAGCCCAGTCTAACCCCAGTAAACAAGACACTGGGTGGTGTTAGCATGAAGGAGTAATGCACAAGTGATCCTGATGGAAGGCCCTTGCTGGATCCTGCCTGAGACAGCACGTGTCTTGCTGTGTCTGCTGACAGCACCATCTCTGATGGGTTCCTGAGGGTCCAGAGCTTGCTGGGAAGTAGCTTGGAGGGGCCAGCTTTGGTGGCCAAAGGGGACCTGGGGGAAGCCTTCCCAGCTGTAACAACTGCCTGGCTTTTACAGGCAGCTGCTATAGCTGGGATGGCCCCAGGACATGTACAAAGCTGGTAGGGACAGGGAGAGGTCACATCATTTAATAGCTCAAGTATTGGAGCAGGGAGAAAAGGAGAAAAGGATGTGCGACCACTGACCACGATAGGGGAGGAGGATGTGGCCTGGGGACACACAAGGAAAGGGGGATCCTGCAAGCATCTTGTGCTGTTTGAGCATACACGTGCATTGTGCCCGTGTGCCACCAGTTCTTTGCTCCCGATTTGAGAGCTTGGAGCAGTGACCATGGAGAGGGGAGCGGGCAGCTTTGAAGCAAGCACATCCTGAGGAGTGAGTCACCGGCTCTGCGTCAGGAGCCAGGCTCATCTCCAGAGGGCAGGGCATCCTGCAGGAGAGCGCTCTGGGGACGTCCCTGCAGCAGGATTAAAAGGCAACCGGGCCCTTGCATTAGGGCAACCATTGGAGATGGCAGGCAGAGGGGTGACCGGCTTGGATCCCACACAGCTCAGCACGCAGCCAGTCAGCCCTGGCCCTGCAAAGCAGCTGCCCATGAGGACACAGTGGTGGGAGCACAGCTCATTGGGGCAGGCTGCTCCCAGGAGCACACACCTAACCCAAGCCTTTCTTAGGAAAACTAGGGGAGGCTGGGTGAGGGTGGTGGCATTTCTCATGGGAAACATTATTTCCTTGTAAACCATGGGTATTCAGGCCAAGCAAAAGCTACTAGCAAAGTGGCGTCAGACACATTAAGCCGGTTGAGTCAGGAGGTAATTTCCAAGAGCATATAAGGTAATTTCCGAGGACCAGGAGTGTTTCATCACCGTGATTTCCTGGTAACATCTTCAGCTGTTTTGCTTTTAAGAATTAGCCTTTTGTTTACTATTTTAGCTGATTTCCCCATGGAAAGCCTTTCATTTACTCCCCAACATTACCTGGAGCTTCTCATCTGAGTGGGTGAAGGAGGAGGTGGAAGAGGAACAGCTTTTCAGCAGCATGGCCAATGTGCCAGAAATGATACCTTTTTTTTAGCTATTCATAAAGATAACGAGAAATGAAAAGGTTGTCTAGGGAGGGAGATCTCTACTCAGAAAACATGAAATGTGAGCGTGCTGCTGTCTTTTCTGCTGGGGACCTGGCATTTCTGATGCTAGATCTCCTAGGGTTTGCCCTATGGGGCAGATGTCCCAGAAGGGCAGCCAAGGATGGATGGATGGGATAGGAACCTACCAAGGGATTCACACCCACCGTAGAAGGGCTGCAAGGCCTCAAAGATAGAAGCAAATGTGACAGTAGAAAAGGAGTATCTCAGAGCCCAGACTCGTTGGGTGAAAGGCGCTGGAAATGCAAAGGATGTATTTAAAGGGCTGGGAGAGGGCCCAGGGGAGCGGGACCGAGCTGTTATCTGCTGCATCAGCTGCGAGTCTGGCTCAGGAGCTACAAATAAAATCAGGCTTGAAGTAGATGTCTTTAAATATTTAAATTACTTTCAGTAATTCATATGGTGACATTTTAACAGCAAGCGAATGGCTTCAGTGCTAAAAGGAAGTGGTTGCAGGTAACAATGCTTAATTTAAGAGGGAACAGCCGGTATCAAGGCAGGATCTCAGTGCTGAATTCAACCTGTGCTCCTCTCTGAACCAAGGAATGCAGAGTAAATCCTGAGGGCTGTGGATGGTGGAAGGCACAGAGCACTGTGATGGAAGCGCTGGCACCGGTACCCAGCGGAGCTGGGGATGACCCCAGTGCTCAGGCACGGCAGCAGCAGGGCCCCTGTGCAGAGCTGCTCCATGGGCTCCTCCCTGGGGTGGGGATGGGCTCCATGGGCTCCCCCCGGTGAGGACCACCAGGGCCTGGTGACACCAGCACCTCCTGCCCACCCTCAGCCTGTGGGACCTCTGCTCTGAGGCACCTAAGGCTGGGATCCAGCCCGGGTACGAGCAAGCAGAACTCACTGAAGGCAAGTTAAACACGGGCTGTGCTTCGCTGCTGGTGTGCCCGGCCAACTTGGAGAGCTGAGCCGGGTCTGTTACATCAGTCACACTGGATTTCATAACATCAGACATTTCAATGAGGGTGACTCATTCTCTCTCGAAGTGTATTGTATGTATGAGCAAAGATGATTAACTTTTGCTGAATGGCATGATTTCTGGGATGGGAACTGCTATTAATTAGGAGCGGATCTCAGCTGTTCACAAACCCTGTTTTCATGGCCTACTTTGTGTGTTTTTCTCTGTTCTGCTTGTTTTTTTAGCTCAGGATAAATATTGAAGTGCCCTTCACTGCTATCTGTTGCTAAAGCAGCCAGATGTCCAGCGAAGGCATCTGACTTTCATGGCCAGGCACAGCCCAGGGCTGTCAGTTTCTGTGGCCAAGCTTCTGCTCCCTAACCCCAAAAGCTCAGTTTTCATATTAAAAGCAAAGAAAACAAAATAAAAGAACACTTCCGACCATTGCAAGTGCAGTAGATAAACTGGCAAGGGAGCTAAAATAACCTTAAATGGCTCAGAATATAAAACACAAAGAATTACCCTTCCACCAATTACCAAGCCACCTCCTCGTGACTCCCAGCATCCCTGTTGTGAGGACAAGGTCCCTTCCCAGCTCTCACCCCATCCCATGACACCCGCAGTGATCAACCAGAGAGCCAAGCACCCCACTCTGCTCCAACTCCATTGCTGCTCTGGGCAACAACATGGTCTTGGGAATACACAGACTATGGCCAAACTCTCTGCCAGGCCAGGGAGGAGCTGGAGAGAGGTTTCTTGTCCTTGGTTCCTCTTGAGACACCACCATGCAAGTGTATTGGGACTTCCTGAGAAAGGACAGACCATGGCTCACCCTGATACTCAGCCAACAACTGAGGTTCATTGGTTTTCCCCATCACCCCCATCACCATGCACCTTCCTCAGCACTTACTCAGCTCCTTGAATGTCAAGCAGGGGCTGTGGGCAGCAGTTAAGCAAAGGTCACTGAATCCACGCTTTTCCCTTTCATCAGCTGAGGCTGCAGGAAGCTCCTGGGCACAGGCTGGAGGCAGGGTCCTGCAGGGATGATGAGCACGGGCAAAGCCTGAACGAAGCAAACCTTGCCTGTGTTTGTAATTAATCGAGGTGAAAAGAGCTCAGTTTTTTGGTCAAAACTGAGGTGAAGTCTGAGCATTCCAGTACGAATGGGGGTGCGCAGTGAACCCGCCTGTGCTGCTGGCCAGGGTGCTTTGGAAACCTCTAAGGTAGCGACTTGCTTGCTCTGCCCTGCCCCTCCTGCCTTGCGGTGGGCAGAGGCAGCCCTCCTTTCCCCACAGCTGGGGCTGACTCGCTCTGGCTCGGGCACTGCTACCGGGCTGATGGCAGCGGATCTGCTGCCCAAGCTCCCCGGTACCAACCACAGCTCCCAGCTCTTGAGAAGCTTGGAGGTGTGGGAGCATTAAAGGCTTCTCCTTTCAGGCTCAGCAGTGAGGAATGTGCATTCGAAACAGAGATAGGGCTGGTTTCTCTCGAGCTCATGGGAGAACACCGCTTGTCCTGTGCACCAGCACAACCATCAGCATCTCCGAGGTAAAGTGGCACCTAGGGGTAGGAAATCCCCACACCTTTCCTAAACCGGGGCCGTTTGCACTCCCGAAGTGCCTCTGACAGATGGAGGATGGATTCGGGCACAAGGCTGGGACACGTGAGCCACTGCCCGAACTCGGGGCGTGCGGCAGAGGCTGAGCCACGCAGCACCGAGGGTTTCCTTGGAGACTGGCGCTGTAGGGGCTTCTCCTCCCGAGGATCCTTCCCCTGCCTTACCAAAGGAACACCCCGAGCCCCATCCCTGCCAGAGAGCCGCAGGGCTCCACCGTGCCGCGGGAGGAAGGGGCAGTGCTGGGGGTTTCCAGGCCCGCAGCTCCCTCACGCTTCCCAAATGCACACGGGAGCAGCAGTCTCCAAGGCGATTCCCATCGCGATGTGTGCAGCGCAGCCGGTGCTGCGGGGGGCAGTTCCAGCACTGCCCGTGAATGAGCAGAGCGCTGCTGCCAGCAGCCGATGGGATCTCCGCAGGGAGCTGCTGACATCGCCCAGCCAAGGGGCAAGGGCAGGGCTCTCGGGGAGCCTCCTGCCCCGGTCACTGCCCGGCCACTGGAGCCTGCAGGCATAAATCACCCCACAACAGAGCTGCAGAACCAGAGGAAGCGCTTCCAGTCCTCCCAGCGAAGCAGCTCTGGTGTGCCAGGAACGGGCACCAGTGCAGGCAGGCAGCAGGCGAGGAGCAGCGCGGAGGCAAGGCTCTGCAGCAGCACTGGTACCACCAGCTAAAAGCTCCTGCTTCATCCAAGGCTTTGGTCCTCAGCCATGAGTTACACAAAGCCCCCGAGTGCTGCCATTTTATCTCACAGTTCAGATGCTCAGCCCTAAACAAACCCACCCAGGTTTGCTCCCTCCCCACATCTCCCACTGAAGTCAACACTCATCCATGCCTCCGGTTCGAACCGCTCACATCCTGCCATTGCAGCTTTGTTTAAATCTGTGCAGAGCTCAACCTGTTGTCACACACACACTAATTTGTATGTTTCTAATTATTTGTTTCCATCTTAAAACCTGTTTTTCAGCAGATTGCAGCTTTATTTTAATACATGCTTGGCGGGAGCTTGATATACTGGTTGCCAGTAACCTAGACGCAAATGGGCTTGCCTTGCATAGGGGAAGCAGGGGGAGAAAAGAGACTGAGTTAAGCTGAATTAAAAGCCTATTTGTACAAATGAATTAAGCAGAACCAGGAAACAAGCAGCAGCTTTGCATCACAGAAGATTCTGCTTTTATATTCCTCTGTTTCTACCCCTTGAAACAAGATGTATCTCAGCACTCGTTAAAGGGCATGTGAAACATCTCCTTATGCAAACACTGAGCACGTCCATTTTATGTGATTAAAGCTCTTAAACTTCTTTTTACTCCCATATTTGACATTAAGAAGTAGCTGAGCAGTGGACAACCAAACCAGGACCATTTTCCACCTGCTTTCCCAGGATGTGAATGCAGAGAGTCAGGGACCATCCTAAGCCTCTTCATTGAAGCAGCTTCCACCAACAGCCTCTTACTCATCCAGTAGCAGGCTGAGCACTTTGCTTCATAGTCATTTGCACCCAGGTCTTCAAAGGGCAGGAGGAACAGCTGAAAGCAAACTGGGGTGCTACTCTAAGGCAGCTGCATTGCTGTAACGCACCAGACAGCATAACCAGTGCTCTGGAATCTGTCTCTGTTTCATCCTTTCTCTGTAGCTCTTTCTCCTGTGCTGAGGATTCTGAGGCCTCTGAACTAAAATGCAGATTAGGAGACGGACTCTGAGGCAATTAAACCAAGAGAAAGAAACATATGTTATTTGCTGGCAAATATTGGCTTTTTAGTGGAGCTCACGTTCTGCATAACACACTGACGAGCCGCTTCTCTGTCGACAAAGTGGCCTGGGACTTTGGAGGAGATGCTCTGAGTGCATGGTCCAGGGCACCTGCGAAAGACGCCTTGTTGCTGGTGTGCAGAGGTCCCGTTGGAAGGCTGATGGTGTGCAGCATCTCCAGATGAGCACTAGTGACCTTCTCTCCCTCTTGCAGGTCTTGGGCTCTGTGTGACACACGGACTGGAGCAGCCCCTCCATCACTCCCACACACTTGGCAGCAGCACGGAGGTCACACAGGAAAAAGCCTTTTGCCAGGCCACGTTTTGGAGTGGGAGATGAGCTGAAGATGGCCATTGCCTCCTGGTGTCATCCTGGCAGGAGAGCATCTCATCCAGACTCATCTGCCTGCAGCTGAACCAGTGGGGACACGGAGGGTCCATCACCTCCTGGAAGCCCATCCTTGTTTCCGCCAAAGACATTTTTGGTGAGCTTCCGCTCCTTTTCCTACTGCTAAAAAAGAAAGGAAAAGGGAAGAGACGCACTTGATGTTAAGGAAATCTAACAGAGTATGCAGCAACCCAACTGCTCAGACACATATGCTGCCTTCCTTCTGCTCTGCACCAGCGAGGCTGTGCCATATTTAGATCTGGCTCCATCTCTTGCAAACTTGACCAACTGTTCCTCCACAGTGTCAGCGTCGCTTGTTTACCCCCAAACTGTTCATGAAAGCCTCAATTTGCGAGGGAATAGGGAAAAAATAAAGTAGGTTTTTATTTTTAAGGCCAGGAGAAGTCCTCAGTGCTGAAAGCCTGGATCAGAGCATCACTGGGTAGAGAGGTCCGAAGATCCCTGGGTGAGTCACCTTCAATAGGGAAAGGAGCTCCTGTGTGTGCAGGCAGATGCTTCCTAGCAACCCCTCTGCAGCAGCCCCGCGCTCACTGCCCATGGATGCTCCTGCAGGGAGCACGCTCCCAGTCTCAGTGACCACACATGAGGGGAGGCAAAGGCCTGTGGTCACGTCTGCCCCTGCTGAGCTGCCCCGAGCAGAGCACTGAGCATCTGTGAGCACATGGCTCACAGCCTGCTTGAGGGAGAGGCTGAAAAGCCCGGTTTTGTTATGAATAGAGAACACAGGAAAGCCCAGAGGACATTTCCCTACCTTCTTCCCTTTGCTAAGCCACAGGCTCACCGCAGGGTTTGGGCACTGGCTTTGGGTCCAGGAGTCAGGCAGAGACGGCCTTGCCCAACACTTTCACCCATGGTTTTGCCACGCACAAGGCAGAGGTGAGCCCTTGTCCTCCCGCATACAGTGGGCAGCCTTGGAGGCTCCTCCTTGAGCATCCACATCTCTTCCTGGCTTGCCCCTGGTGTCATTACTGCTGGCTGTGGAGGATAAGGTGACAGCGTGCCCTGCAGCCTTGCAGGACGCTGCAGCATCATCTCAGCCCTCCCACCAGCTCCGGGGTTTGCATAGCAACCTGTCTCACGCTTGAGGCAGATCTGCCGGGGCTCAGACCCTTCCCCGGCGCGCTGTGCTGGTGAGGAGCGACGCGGCACAGCAGATGGATGAGATGTCAATTGGGTTTCACATGGGTTATATAAATAGGCTCAGAGGAGGCTGCGCCTGCGTGGTGCTCTGTTCACCACAGGACCCTCTCCTCCCTTCCCGTTAACCTCACAGACACCCCAGTAGCGCCCAGTGTGCCCACAGCGAGCACTCACCGCAGCCGGGGCCGTCCTGCAGGCTGCCCTGCTCAGCAATGCAGGGAGCATCCTGCCCACCCCCTACCTGGGGCAGGCCTCACACACCAGAGCCACGACTCCCCCAGTTGGGTTCAGAGGGTGGGCAGAGGGGTATGGACCCTGCTGCTTCCTACCCAGGTGAGTAAGGGCAAGAACAGGGCTCTCAAGAACAGGTTTCTGCCAGGGCTTCTCCCCACTCAGAGGGGACACCAGAGGCTCCACACCACCTCCACTCATTGTGAACCCAAAGTACCTCAGCCCAACACCCTGCCCTTCAAGGTGCCTTTGCCTCCAGCAAAATGAGCATCATCACAAACTGGATGCATAGTTTGGGGCAGAAACTGGTGGAAATGTCATTAAACTTCCCCAGAGGATGCTCTGTCTGCATTCGTTATTTCACAGCCTCGTGTTCCATGGAAACAGGGTTTATGCAGCCATACCATCCGCACACCCCTCCCCTCTGCCTCCCCTTTTCATGGATGCTTCCAGCCACACTGTACAGGGGCTCCCAGTCATTGTACCAGTGCAATTTTGGGAAGCTCGGTGGCTGATGGGAAGATGCTGAGCACGTGTTTGTCTCCTACCAGCCAGCAAGAGCCCATGTGCACCCTCTACCCTGCGACCCAACGCCACTGGAAACCAGGCACTGCTGGTTTCCACAGCTCATGGAACAAGCTGTGTTATTTGTATTACAGTATCCTAGGAGCCCTAGTTCCTGTCCTGCATTTAGTCCCTGGCATGACCAGTATTTTCCATGGTCAGTCTGAAAGGAGGGAGCAGACTTTAACCCTTCTGGTAAAATGAGCAGATTCCCACATCAGGCTATTCCCATGCAACCCTCCCCATGAGAAACAAAGCCCTTCTCACATCAAAGCACACACAGAGAAATCCCTATTCCAGTGCTGGGCTGCCTCTAGGAGAGGTGCAGATGGGGAGGCTGACGGGGGCTGCTTGAGCCTTTGCATCTCCTGCCACCGGTACCGTGCTCAAACCCCACCTTCAGCCAAACCCTGCCAACACTCTGATCCAGCCTCTCTTTTCCAGCCATGCACTGTAAAGCAGCTCTCTTCTCCAGCTGAGCTAAGGCACAGGTCACCAAACACAGAAAGAAGATTTCTTGAGAGACAAGGCAGATAGACACCCATGTTTTGGGCCAGTTTCCCTGGTTTAGCCTAGTTTTCCTACCTGGGGAAATGCAAGCAGAGCCAGGGCCCCTGCTCTGGATCCCTGTGGAAGACACCAGGAGCTTCATCAGCCACCTCTGGCTTGAGATGGGCAGGCCAAGGCTCTGCAGACGTGAAACATGACTTGGAGCTTCTTGGGATCTGAGTCTGGCACCTGCTGAAGGACCCTGAGTTGGGATGACAAGGACTCCGGGAGGCCTTTAGGGAGATCACAGCCATCCTGGGCTTACCCATTACTGAGCTCCTTAGCCAGCCCAAACCACATCGACTACTGTTCCCATTCCTACGTGGGTCCATTGTCTGCGATCTGCCCCTAATTATGGGCAGCAGAAGGAAGAAAGGAAGCACAGAAGGGCTAGAGGTTCAGGTTGAGGAGTGCTGCGGTCCTGGGACACCAGCAATCCCTGAGGGAGCTGCAGATGGGGCTAGGAGAGATGCGGGGTGCAGGACCATGGAACCCCCATCTCAAGCCCCTCCAAGGGTGCAGAGCCAGGCTGGGCCACTTGTGGTGTGGGCCTGGAAAGCTGGACCAGGAAACTGGTGTGAGCTTGGAGACTGAGTTTCTGCAGCCCTGGGGAAGAGGAGCATGGGGCAGATGCTGGGTGCAGGCAGCAGAGCAGGGTTTACAGCGGCTGTTGGGCAAGTGCTCCTGCAGCTCCCTGTGCCCACAACAGTGGCAGATGGGAAACACATCACCCAGAAAATATCCGGGGTTTTGTGCTAGCAGTGGCTGCCCCTGTGCTGAGGACACGCAAGGAAAAGACTGGATCTTCTGTCAAAAACATTTCCTCCTACTGCAGGGTTTTAAGCATTCAAAAAAGGACTGAGGAAGATGCCATAAACCAGGGAAAATAACTTAGGGGATGCAAAGCAACTCATGGGGTTGGGTCTCATGTGCTCATGGAGGAGAGGCCCTGGTATCACCTGGGGAGGAGGAGAAAATGAGCGCTGAGCTCAGGACCTGATGTCTCCTCCTTCCACCACTGGCTGGTGTGCACTGGGAGCTACAGCACCTCAGCAACCCCATCACCTCATATGTCTCACTATGAGAAATGCCTTACACCAGCAGGGTTTTACCAGCACATGAACCACTGCTCAGTACAGACACAGCCTCGGAGCCTTTCCCTGGCTATTGATGGTAAAGTGACATTATGCCAGTCCTGAGCAGTAAAACACCTTCAACAAACGTGCTGTGAGCAAGCTGAGGCTTTGGTGAGCAGGGCAGCTGGGTCCCACAGCACCTTACCAATCACTGCTTCCTCTTTGCGGGATGATGCTGAGTTAAGCACGGATTTCAGCATGAACCATCAAGCACTAATGCAGACCTCGGTCCATGCCAGCATAAAACCTTGGATGAAGCAGCTTGCTTGAGCAGGCAGCTCAGGGTCTTTGCCTCTGCCCTGGGACACAAGGGCATGGCCTTGGTTGGTTTGCTCTTACACGGGGTGAAGTCACCCCTGCTGCAGCGCTGCTCACACAGAGCCATTCCCATTCACAACTCCCGTTCATTCACTCCAAAGCGTTCCCCTTGGCCAGGGATTGCTCATCCTTGTATCACCCTTCAGCTATTTAGCAGGGGTGGAGGAGTGGTGTTTGCAGCACACACCAAGAGCCTTGGGTTGCTCTGCTTGGACAAATAAATTAAGTGCAGCTCTGTCGGAGGAAATGTTTTTATGTCAGCTATGAGCGGGATGAGAGCATCCCAGCTCTGCCAGAAGGCAAACCCCCATGGGGATTCCTGAGAGTGGCCAAACCCAGCAGGACCGAGCCCTGCCTGTCTGCCCTATGTGCGTGGGTGAGGAATTCCAGAAAACAGGAAGTTTGAAACAAACAAAACTAAGCAAAAAAAAGCAAAAGCCCCTTTTCCTTCATAAACCCTGCCTGAACCGCGCACAGCTGCAGGTCCCAGCCCTGACCCCTCTGAAACCACTTAAAGCTCACACTTAACTTCAATGGGGAAAGGATTTGGCCTGGATCTCGACTAAATTCACAACCATCAATGGCTTTGCTTGGGGTTTAATTCCCTGGACTAAAGGGAATTTGCCCGCCAGTCCCCTGCTTCCCTGGGCAGCGCTTAGCGCCCACATCCCACCAACGGCTCCATCACAGCCAACACGAGCAAACCAACCCGAGGGCCCCGTGTTTGAAACAAACAAACAGCAACAAGAGAAAGAAGGGAAGAGAAGGGAAGAGAAGAGAAGAGCAGCATTTATGTCCCCACAGCTGCGCTCTCCCAGACAGAGGAGTTCTGTGCCAGGACAATAACGCTTTATACGGCGAGGTTAAGTTTCACTTACTTGAAACTATCAGCTCTTGTGTTCGAATCATCTTATTACCTCCAGAGTCAAACAAGGCTTCCCCGTGGGCAAGTATTCGGTCATGCTGATTACATCGGACACAGAGGCCAAGCAGGGCTGGCTTGAAAATGACCTAATGGGAGCTGCCCGAGGCTGCCCCGGGGATGAGGGGGTACAGCCATGGTGTTATTCACCCTCTTGGGCTGCCCAGCCCCTTTCCTGTTGGGGAGAGGCAGGTCCCAAATGCTGAGCCCCCTTCATAAGAAAAAGGAACCCAAAATCAAGCTCTGGAGTTGGGTTTTTGCTTCCGAATATCCCCTCTGACAGTGATGGGCAGCCATCGAGCATCAGGTTTGATCCTCTCCAAAAGACTCCAGGTACCTTCAGGCCCAGTGAAACATCTCCAGTAGACTTGCCCAGTGAAGCTTCAACCCACTTCCCTCCTTACTATTGCCTCTCCCACCAGCAAGCTGGGGAGGGCAGCATCTCTTCTAATTATCTATCCAAATGCTCTCTGTGACCCGAGTGGAAAGAAACCAGTTCTAGGTCCCATTAATCTGAGCTAGACCCAGCTTGGGAAGTTACTTAATATTTGGGCATATCCCACAGTGTTAAGCATGTGATGAAGCCAAGACACGTTTTGGAGCTGTACAACTAAAGATAGCGGATGCTCCAGCCTGAGCTTCTGAGCTATGACTGCAGGGAGGCGGCAGGAACGCAGGGAGCGTGTGCTGAGCATCACCCGAAGAGGCAGTGCGTTTGCACTTGTCCCCATGGAGGGGACAGGGATCTGCAGAGCAACCCGGTGCCACACAGACACAAGGGGAAGATGCCAGCCTGACATCTCACTGTGTGGGCAAAGCAGGAGGAAAACAAGCTGCCTGTGTCTCGTGTGTTTGTATTGAAATCCTGCTGCTCCTCCACCAGCCTCACCCTCGGCTCCCCCTCCCTCGGCCCCAGCTCATTGAGTGCCTCGGAGCCGTGGGTACAGAAAGGAGAAGCTGCTGGTGAATATCAGTGATGCTTCAGCAGGAAGAAGCAGCCGCTTACTGGCTGCTGCAGGTGCCTCCTGCAGGCAGGGGAGCAGCCTGTGCCTGGTCCTTGCAGCTTAGCAGGCACCGGGTGAATCGTGTTTGGGTTTCAGATGCAACGTGACAGCCCTGCCACTGGGCACCCTGGGTACCACCCGTAGCCCGGCTCATGCTGC